TTTAGTTTTTAATTATTTCTTCAAATAATTTTTAATTAATGAACTATTTGATTAACAAATATTTTTACAGAGATAACATTATTTTACCAAGATACTTCATCACATTTTTTAAATATTTTAATTCATTTTTGCTAGACTTACCCCCTAAGAAACTATTAATTTTTCTTGTAGGTAAATCCAGCCCTGGCATATATTAACAATAAAATACTAAATATATTTGTGTAATACAATAATTCTCAACATAGGTGTGTAGCTTAAAACAAGAGGAGAGGAACTACATTTCTGGATCTCATGGTCCCCCACTAGTCCCCCGCTGGTCCCTCACTGGTTCTCCTTCCCCATTTCTATTTACAGATGACTTATTTTACTACTAAACTAATAAAACATAATAAGCTACAAGGTAAATGAAATAACATTAATGAATTAATAAGTATAATTTGTTTGCTTGAACCATTGACAGGGTTGACAGATGGTTTGGAGAGCTTCTTCTCCAAATGTTGTGTATCTAAACTAGATTTATATTTATATTTATATTTAGATTTATTTAGTCAAAAAAACAGTAAAAACTGTATGTGACATATGAGGGAGAAGATCATCTGTGCAAGTTCTCTTGAGTTCCGGAATCCCTTCTTGTCATTTTAGCTATAAATAGTTGAAAGATGAATAAAAGTTTAAAATAAATAAATAAAAATAAATTTTAAAGAGGTCAAGATTAGCAATATTTGAAAAAATACATTTTTGTTCCCAAGTTGTAGAAAACTTATTTACATCAGTAAACGAATTGCATTAATGATTTTTCTGCATTGTTAACAAAATAGTAACTTGCCCTTACCTCTACTCCTACCATTACAAGCAAAAGGAGAGTTCAACAAAATGTGTGCTATCAATTCCCCCAATTCACAGCTTAAAAAAGGGGGGAAATTCAGAAATGAAATTGGTCATATTTATGGAAATAAAATTCTTTATTACATAGGACTTCAGGGTCCCTTTCAAAATTTTCAAGCAGGCCACATACCCTTAGCCTCCTCTCTGCACATGCCTATGGTTTTCAAACTTGTGAGCTGCAGTGCACATGAGTATAGTTCACATTCTAGGGGTGCTGTGACATATTTATTGAAGATTACACATTTATTGAAGAAGAAAAACTTATTAAGTTTATTTGGTTTATGGAAATTGAAATATTAATTAAAATAGTAGAAGTGTTGAAAAAAACTTTTGATGTGTCATAGTTTGGACACAGTCTATAGTGGGATAAATCGTAGAACAATGCTAAAATGAGGTTAATTTTAGTGATATTTAGGGAGGAAAGCAGCTACAGACTAGTTACTACTGTATCAAACTTGTGTCAGACTGTTTTATGTAAGATAAGAAATGAGAAAATGTGTATTTGCTGACTTTCAAACTAATTGCATTATTACTTGAACAATTGTTTTTATGACAATTTTAATGAATGCAAGTGGATAGATTTGTTATTTCTTTTACTCAAAGATCCCATCCATATTGACATCTGCAAAGCAAGAGCTAACAAGATAGCAAAATTGCTTGGTTTTTCAATTGAGTCAAACCTCGAATGGAATACCCAGTTAAGTGAACTGAATACTGAATTAAGTTCGTTATATTACATATTCAAAATTCTTTCAAAATCAGTCACTTTTCATGCAGCTTATTGCATGTATTTGGCAAATATAGATGTGTCATAACATTGTTAAATACCCAAACGTTTAGATTGCAGATAACAGTTGAACAAATAATGAGCAAATGCCATGCATTTGATTCTTACAAACCTTTCTTCACTGAGCTGGGAATATATCATTGCGTCTTTATTTATTTATGAATTAGTAGTTTTTGTCAAATTGACATATGGTTGGGAACATATTTTCATGAAATGCATAATAATCTAGAGTCCAGAAGTTTGGTAAAATGCTTCTTTTTTTATTGTTACCATTTTATGACTTTCAACAATAGGAATCACTGAGTTGTATTTTTGGGGTTGTTTTAGTACATTATCATTTTGTATTTTCTTTGCCTAATTTAAAATCTGATACCAATTTTTACCATTTTGTTTTGTTTTTGCCATTTCTGATTTTTAGATAATTATTTTGTTTTTTTGTTCTCCTAGCAGCTAACTTGATCATGTCGTACATACTCCTTCAAGCCTGGATAACACAAAGGCACAGTCGTGTTTTGTGTTTCTGTGGAAGCAGAATCTATTGCCTATTTTCATAAAAATAAATTCCTTATTGCCTGCTTAATATAGGTAAAATAAATGCTTGAACTTCCGGGCTCTAATAATTGCAAAATATGTTAAATGATCATACTGAAATTAAGCTATATATAAACTTTTTGAAGACCAAGCTGGTTTTTCAAATTATTAGTGCTCAGGAAAATATTTAATTTAGCTCATTCTTCCCTCCTACAAAGGAGAAAAGAGATGGAAAATCACACTTGAAGTGAAAGATCCTATTGCTACCATTGTACTACTTACACTGTCCTTTTTTGTCTTATGTTATGTTATGGAAATGAAAGTAATTCACCTGTTGAAGAATATTCAAATGTTAAAGAAATATGCTGATATCCTGAAAATTTCAATAATTTTAAGAATGATTTTGATAATTCTGGGAAAAGCATTATTAATATTAGGTTGAAAAATCTGTGTGTAGTGGTAATCTTGACTTAAGACACAAATCATAATTTTACTTAAATGTATAAAATTGATTTTGTATTTCAGAACTTACCACATGAATGGTAATAATACAGTTTTGATCTTATTAAAATAATTTCATCATCCATTCACAGTTCATGTCGTTTTCCAAGGATAAAAGACCATTCTTTGGAAGAGCTTATTGCAGAAAAAATTAAATAAAAACTCTTTTCTAGATTATTCAGCCTTGGTTGTCTCAATTATTTAGCCTAACTCATTTCCCAATTGCCGAGGAAAACCAGATGATAACTTATTAAGACTATTTATTTGATTAAGTATTCATAAAGAATTACTTGTATTCAAAAATTCTTAAGCTATTTAAGCAAATTACCCCAAATGAGACAGTTAATATCAACTCTTGTTTTTTGTTGTTGTTGTTTTCAAATTGCAAATTCATATACTTTTCGTTTCATTTTGTGAATTTCATATACTTATTATACAAAAGCATCTTAAAGGAAACTTAATATGCAATTTTTGGAATTTCTGAAAGCTAGGTCAAAGAACAACACATCCATGGCTACATTTTAATTTATCCAAGATTGCTAAACCATTGCAAGCACCTGACTGGATATAAACATGACTTGTGACAGTCCAAAATAACAGACTTGTTTGAACTCTTGTGTGACAATTGGGTGAAATTGAAATAACTACAGTCCTATCTTGAAACTTATTACTAACATTTAAAAGATTTCCTCTACACTGATCATCAGAGAGTGAAGAACTTAAACTGCATGAAGCTGCTTGCACAATTCCAAACATGTTCTTACTGAGACCAATTTTATAAGGACTCTTAACTTTTTACACTTTCCACAATGTAAATACAGAGTCGCTGTACTCACTTAGTACATCAATAATCACCACTGTGTTCACTAACCAAATTTGATAATCATGAGATTCATACGCATGTCAGAATTTCAGAAACATACATTATTTTTGTTCTGAATTTGAGTCATTGTGCAATTATATTTTAATTTAATTTATGTAAAGAAAGACATATATAAGTCCCATCATGTAAGAGGTCATCATGTGTCCTGCCCTTGCTAATCCATCCTTTGTTTTAGCCCCTTCAATTTATTTAAATAAATTAACACACATTATTTACTTTACAATCAAAGATATATTCCCATAATGATTTTGCACTTTTCATTTCAAGCTATTCCCTGCCTCCAAATACAGTTTCATATTTAGGGAAGAGGGCCCATTTCTGAAATAATTTGTGCCTGCACCTGCTTTAAAAAATGAATTTCTCTCTAATACTTTAGCAGACGTACCACTTGCCATTGGCTAACAATGCCATTGGTTGACATCATTCTCCTCTCTACATTCTCTAGAGCTCTCTCAGCAGCAATATCTACCCTCTGTTTTCCACAAAGCCACATTAATATAATCTTTTCCCTGTACAATTAAACCATGACTGAATATATCACCAATAATTTATGTTTATCAAAGTTGAATAATATTCTCCCGAATAGTCCACAGAACATGTTGCCATGCAGTATTGTCCAAAAACCTTTAACACATCTTCATACATAAATAAACATTTTATTTACTACAAATTTTACTGAAAATGTGAAAAATATTTAGGGAACATTTCAATTAAATAAATGGTTATTATTTACTTCTCCATTGTTGATGTTTGTGTGTTTGAGAAATAGCACCTTTTTTTTATTTACATTTTCTGAATGTAAAGGATTTCTAATTCATCGGCTCATGAATATAAAAACAAAGAAAATCTTGATTTCTCATTTAGCTGGTGGGGAAGCAATACAGATACATTGGGCACATACTTGAATTGCTGAAATCTGTGCTTCGGTTTGGATCCAAAGTTCACTCGCCAAGAAAGTGTAGGCTTATTTAAATCTAGCTATGAGAACCATACAAACTTCTTGAGTAGAATTAAACCCCTTCACGAATATTGTTTAAAAATAAGAAAAAGTGTATTGCTTAAAAATAACTAAACACTACCATTACATACAAGTCTAATTAATTGTTTATACTCTTGTACATAGGTTCAAATCAAGAAGAAGCAATTATATTGCTGAAAGAAATTAATATTTTAAAGTAAATTTAACTATAATAATTGTATTTTAATTTGCATTTGTATTGTATATGAATTACCTATTTCCTTCACAATGTGCACAAGTCAAACAGATTCCTTGCCTTTGCCAAAACCCATCATTTAAAACATCAAAGAAGTTAATATTTTCACATTTAACACAGATAAATTGCAGCCAATTTCATAATCAAAAAATAAAAAATGAAACAAGAGAATGAAAGTCAATAAGGGAAAAATATTACACAAAAACAGAATTTGTATTAGGTACTGTTATTATCCATTTCATATATACATAATGATACAAAAACAGATAGATCAAGAATTGCAGAACATCATTAGGCCAATATACTTCATTTGTATTGAATAAGAAATTGAATGGTACATACATCTTTTCTTTACCATTTTTTTAAAAATATACCACCAACAGTATATATTATGACATTAAATATAATATTGATACTACTAATAACATGATTTTACACTTCACTTTGGCTTTTTAACATTGAAGCTTTTTGGCACCATGTGTATTACACTTTGGATCTTGAGTCAAATAACTTCCCCCAGATCATTTTTCAGTATTTCAATGAGTTGCCAATAAAAAGCAATAAATAAAAACCTTAAAGAAATGATTTATGTAAGAAAAGTGACCAAGGTGTTAAATTGTATTTTTAGTAATAACATTATTAATGGAAATGCCACTCTTTAACAACAATCTTAACAAAGATTCATCTTCTCATTTGATACATACAAACTCTAGTGTTATTAACAATATAAAAATTTAAGAAATTTTAATAGTCATATCATACATTCTTATAATTACATGACAAAATATAACATGTACACTTACTAACTAACAGTTTGAGCAATGTTGTGTGACGCTGGGGTTCTGGGGTTGAACACTATAGGGCGATACCCTTTTCCATTACGCACAAATGGCTGTAAAGATGTCAGCCTAAACCTGCTACCATCTGTTGTTGTAGAATGAGCATTCTGAAAGTAAATTTTAATAATATTTTAATAAAAAAACTTGGTGAATATTGAAGAACTTTTGAAATAATTACAAAGAATATATATTCATAAAAGTTAAGCATTACTTTACACTAGTAGTACATTAGCTGATTACTTACTTCAGCTGATGGATGTTTTACATCTGTAGGTGAAGCTGAAGATGTGTCCCTTTTGTAAGGGATGTCCGGTCCTTCTTCCATATTGGAAGAGCTGCTTGTGCGTTCCAGTTCAGGGCTTGCTGATCTAAAGACATAATTATCCGCTTAATAGCTGACAAATGGTTTTGTTCCTCCGCAAAGGAACACCATATGCAGTGAATATTGGGAACTGCATGCTATGAAAAATATTATGTTTTGCATGCTACTCATTCATTTTAACATGCACAAAACATTTACTGCAATATTTAAAATTAATAATAAATGGATTTACCTATTTTTTGAGAAATAGTAAAACAATATTAGATAAGCATATTTGTGTGTTCTGCAGCAATTTTTTCAAAATTTCTTTAAAGAAAAAATTTTTTGAATAATAATTCGTAAATGTTGCTTCAAGTGAAACTACAAGATTTCTTTTCAATTACCCCACCCCATTTTAAAGTTTGCCAAAAAAATTTTAAAGAACAAAAATATATGGCCATTTATTTGAACATTTTCCTTTAAAAAAACAAAGGAAAGGTAAATATTATTCACAAATCATAATCACAATTTACAACCATAGTATTGAATTTTGAATGAAAATATAAATTCATGAATTTTGAATGAAAATAGAAAAGAAACAGCAATTTAGATTTGATATTAAAAAACAAAGTATTGCCTCTTATGTCTTACATTTATGAAAAAAATAAATGTCTTGTAAACTCTCCTTAATTCTCCATTAATAAAACAATGCTTTTTGCAGTGAATGTTTAAGTAATTCCTCCTCCAAATGTTAGTGAAGGCAAACTGTTGAAGCAACAAATGTGGCAAAACACAGAAGCAACAAACCTGTTCCAAACCCCAGAAGCAGTCAGCCCAGGAACAATGGAGGTTGCTTTGTTGACTAGACTTAAGGATAAGCTAGGGGCTGAAGCCAACTAACTTACTTCCTGCATGGACACAAAATATTAAAACCCTAAGTGTAAGTTCCAAAAAGCCAGTTGTAACAATAGAGGCTGATACAGCAGCCGTATTTGTTAAGAAACTATCATTCACATTCAATAATGAACACTTGTTAATTCCTCATGCACAACCTAATAGTATTGAGTGAAATTATCAAAAATTCAACAAAAGGTTAATAATTGTATGGGAAATTTCATATATGGGAACAAAACTGATTTTAATATATTCTTGAAGGAATTTTAAATATTATGAAGAAAATGATTAAAATGCAAGAAACACAAAAGTATATTTTAGTATTTTAGATAATTTCACTCAAAAATATTATAATTAAATTCTTATATACATGATCCCAAGCTATTAGCCAATATGTACCTCATATTATGTTAACAAGCGTTTATTAATTTTCACGCATCAGATAGATACCTGCTGCGAAGAGGCCGGGAATGCTGGTACCCAGAATTTGCTTGTCGGGATGTAGGTCGCCCATTTACTTGAGACACATCAGAATCTGAGCTTGTGGCTGAGCGGCCAGGTGGCCTTGCTCCGTGTGCAAAATCTCGCCTATAGTTGTCAGAAGATGATGATCGGGGAGTTGACCCTCCACCACGGCCCTGCTCATGATACGCTGTAAAGCCAAGAGGCAAAATCTAAAAGACCTATGTATGAAAATACACAGAGGCTTTCAGGGTCAGATATCGATATAAAAGACGTATCTTAGGGAGAACTGTTAACTGTTGTTAAAAATTAAAATTTGGATAATATAATAATTAGTTATGGAAATTTTTATATCTTGTAGTTCATTTTGTATCTAGTACCATGTATAAAATATTTTTAAAAATATTAAATGTTTTTGAATAAAGGTTTGTTTAACTACGATTATTTTTATTCATATTACACAATTAAATTATGCATTGCATATAATAAAAACAATTCATTTATGCAAACTTAATATTTATTAACAAAAATAAAGTTAGTATAAGATTTGAAAAGTGATTTCTGAAAATGATTATTGCTTTCTGCGGAAATGGGGTTTACCGCAAAGTTTCATTGCTGGAGACATTGTTTCATCTAACAAGAACATATTTACAATGAAGAATTATAATGGAAACAAATAACATTGAGAAAATGTAGCTGTTTAGAGCTAAATAAGATAACAATAAATCTGAATGAAACCTTTTTGCATCTTGTCTTAATAGTTTCTACATTTCAGGATAGTTCGAAGAAGGAACAGAATATTCCTTAATTTTGTTTTGAAAAATCTCATAAATCTGAGCATATTGAAATTTTAAAATTGTCAAATAGCTCATGACAGTATAACCTATTTTCTTCTTTATACTCAAGTCTGTTCAACTTAGAACAACTATTCATGAAAGTGTTTCATAAGGATTCTTTATTTCTTCCCACTTGTAGATGACAAAAGAAAACACCTGGTGAAAATTCTTTCCCAATTATATTTTAGCCAAATTGAAAATCATTTCTTCAATTAGTTTCATATTTAAATTCAGAGCAGTTACTGGACATTAATTAATTTTTGTTGCTGTAGTGGTGGTGGTGGTGGTGATGGTGGTAGTAGTGGTGGTAGTAGTGGTGATGGTGGTGGTGATGGTGGTTTTTTGTTGTTTTGTTTTGAAGAGGGAATGAATAATAAATGTCGGTAAACATTGAAATTTTATAACAAATAACGCAAACATGCAGAATATATTGTAGTAAATTAAAAATCTAATTGTTTGATTCTTCAAAAATTAAAAAAAAAAGTAGTAATGAAAACTGTAGTATGTGACAACTAAAAACCTGTATTTTCTACAAAGTGAAGACTTGTATTTGAATGGAAACTTATTAATTCATTAACACCCAAATTAATTGTGCACATGGCACTCGCCCATTGTGATTGCATTCGTGCACACCTAGTCACTGTTGAAGCCCTCAGGTACCATCTTTTTGTGCTAACTAATTGTTGTGTTGCTAAACAATTGCTACTAAAGCGCTCCAAAGCACAAACCGTAAACTACCGGGTTTTTTGCCAACCTGGTATCCCCCACCAGCAAGTCACCGCCCCAGCTGGGACAAGCTCTAAGCTCCTGGCCGGTCTCCCGGCATGTGTGGTAGTACAAGCACGATATTTACCTTCACCTCCATGTCTCTGATGCGTGACGTATACTTGTGTGCTCTTGGGCATGTCAAACACAGCAGGCGGATGTACAGTGGCCCTCTTAGGCTCCAGGTGAGGAAGGGACTCTGGACCGGAGTCAATATACCTACAAGGACAACAAACTCAATTAAAACTTCATTAAAAACATTATTTTCACGGAATGCAAGTGCTTTTAAAATGTTGAATTCGTAACATAATCGTCTAGATTTTACATGCTTTCATTATCAAAATGCTTATACACCTCCATGCTTCTTTTTTTAACATAGAATTTGCAAGGGCAAGTAATATAAAATCTGTAAAAATCAAGCAAGAAATTCATGATGTTTCCAAAGAAACTTAAGTCAAAAAGTTATTATTAATGGCAAAAATACTTATGGGTTTATAATAAAATATTTAAAAAATGATTGAGTTGTATGAGTATATTTGAAATCCAATTTGAAGAACAAAACAAGATAACCTTTCACATTCTTTTATTCAAATTAATTTTGAAAGAATGAATTGCTCTTATTAGAGAAATTTGTGCGTAAAATGGACTTGAAAAATCACAGAAAATGTCAGAAAACACAGGCAAGAAAAGATGAGCACAATATAAGGTAACCAAGTATAATTAGTGGAATCACCAAAAAAGTATAAAAAATTAAAAGGAAGAAGGAAAGAGGAAGAAGGTGAAGAAAGGGGTAGGAGGAATGACAAGTCAAAGATGAGGCTGAGGAGATGCAAGGGGAAAAAGAAGTTGAAGAAGAAAGAAAGTAGTAAAATATGGAAAGAAGAAGAAGAAAGGGAACTAGTAAAAAAGGAGGTAAAGAAGGACAAAGAATAAGATAAGTAACTAATGGAAGAAGAAGTAAAAGATGAGGAAGAGAAGGATGAAAACAAGAGGACAAAGAAGAAAAATGAAGATAAGGGACAGAAGAACAAACAGAGAAGACAAGGAAGAAGAGAAAGTACAAGAAGTTGGGGAGAAGTATGAAGAACAAGAGGAGAAAGAAGAAGAGAAGGGAGACATGGAAGAACAACATGAGAAGGATGAAGAACCAAAGCACAAAGAAGAGAAAGTAAGGAGAAGAGAAGAAGAGAAAGGAGAAGACGTTAAGAAAGGAAGGAGGAGGAATAGAAGAAGAAGATAAGAAACGGGGGAGAAGAAGTAGAAGAGCAAGAAAGAAGGGGAAGCAGGAAAGGAAGGAAGAAAGGGAGAAGAAGAAAGGGAGAAGAAGAAAGGAAGAAATGGAGAAGAGAAAAAAAGAAAGAAAGGGAGAAGAAGAAAGAACGAGAGAGAGAAGAAGATAATGAAGGAAGGAGGAGGAGAGGAGAGGAGAAGAAGATGAAGAAGGAGGAGAAGAAGAAGAAGAAGAAGCAGAGAAGAAAGGGAGGAGGAGGAGGAGGAGGAGGCAGCGTACCTGGTGGGGCGGTACTCGCGGTACTCGCGCCGGGGCTCCCTGAACTCGGAGAGCACCTGCGTGGAGGGCGTCTTGAGGTCTTGAGGCGCGGCGGCGGGGGCGAGCGGCTGCTGCTGCTGCTGCTGCTTGGAGGCGCCGCTGCCGCCGGCCTTGGACGCTCCACCTCCACCACCGCCGCCCGAGCTGTGCGCCGACGAGTGCGAGGAGGAGGGCGCGCCCTCGGGGTCGGCGCGGTGCGCGTGGGTATGTGCGGGCTCGTCGCCTTGCCACTCGGCGGGCAGCGACGCGAACAGCTTCTCGTCGAGCGAGAAGAGGCGCAGCTGCTGCCGGATGGAGGCCTTCTCTCGCGCGCGCTTGCGCTGGAACTCCTCCTCCACCTGGCGCATGGCTCCAGCTCGCCCAGGCGCTGGCGCTCTTTGGCTCGCCTCGCGCGACAGCCGCTCCGCCAGGCGCCGCGCTCGATCTGGCGCACGTGCTCTGGAAGGTGAAGCGCTTCGCCTTGCCGCGCGCCTTGCCCTGCCTGCCGCGCCCTGCCGTGCCCGGCCGCGCGCGCCCGCGGCGGGCCCTCGGGCGACGAGACGGCGACGGCGACGGGACGGCGCGGGTGCGGCGGATCTGCCGCATCTCGGCGCCGCCGCCAGGTCCTCGCACGACTTGGACAGCAGCCCGCCGCCCGAGCGCGACTCCAGCCGGCCCGCGGCGCCCGCGCTGCAACAACACACGCGCCAACGCTCAGCCTCGGTACAACAAGGGGACAGCCGACATTTCTTATTTTGAAATCTAATCGAGTCGAATCAAATCAAATCAAATCAAATCGAATCGAATCGCATCGAATCGCATCGAATCGAGTCGAATCGAATCGAGTCGAGTCGAGTCGAGTCGAGTCGAATCGAATCGAGTCGAGTCGAGTCGAGTCGAGTCGAGTCGAGTCGAGTCGAATCGAGTCGCGTAAAAGTCGAACGAAATAAAATGAAATATAAAAATGGAGTCCATGGTCTGGGGAGGCACAGGGTCCTCACCTGTAGCAGCGTCCGCGCGGCGCGAGGGCCTCGGTGTCGCGAGGTGCCTCGTACTGCGGCAGGTACATGACGTGGCCGCCCGACGCCAGGTACGAGAAGGAGGGCGGGTCGGCTGGCGAGGGCGCGCTGGGCCCGCTGGGCGACGACGCCGACCCGCTGCCGGCGTACGCGAAGGGCGACGGCGGCCCCAGCAGCAGGTTGGGCACCGACCGGCTCAGCAGCCAGTTCTCGTCCAGCGCGTGCCCGCTCCCGCCCCGCCGCCCCGCACCCCCGCCGCGCCGCGCCGCCGCGCTTCGCGCCCGCCACGCCGGAGCCCGCACACAGAGCGCTTCCGCTTCTTTCACGGCTGTTGAAGCGACGGCTGCACGTCGCGCAGCAGCGGCGCCTGGAAATCGCACACACTTTCTCCTCGTCAACGGGTTCGTCGCGCAAGGTTTCTCTACGCACAGCACGCCGGCTTACGGGCAGCACATTGATGTGCCCGATAGCCGGCAGTTCCCTAGGGCTCCAACTCTGACGGTTGGATAGGATTTCGGGACAACTAGCACGGTCAGTCCAGGGCATAGGTGCCAAGTTGTTTCGGTCGCCATTCTGCGCACCTTCATCAGGCGTAGTATTGGCGGTTTAGCAGAATGCACAGTTTCTGGTACTAAAAAAACTGAAATACTTCACTATAAAGAAACCAAATTCTGCCTAATAACTATATATACACACTGAATTATTTTTATTTATACATATATATTTAATAACTTTTTTGTTAAACTTGCCACAATTTTGTAAGGATATAAGAGTTGGAGAGAACAGGTATTCAGAATTCAAGCTGGATATTAAATTTACCTGCAGCAACAACCACATAAAAATTACTTTTAATTCATACAGCAAATTGCATAAGTAAATTATATAAATTAAAATAGCAAGTCCAACTTGAAGGTTTAATAAACTATTCAACTACTTTCCTTGATTAAATATAATTTTAATATGGTAAAGTTAGAAACAAAATGGATATTTGTAATGAGAAGTACTGCTAAAGAGAATCATTCAAGAAAAAAATTAATGCATAAATTTTTTATGAGCAAATATTATACCAAATAAATGAAAATCCCTTTTTGACAAATTGTATCAAGAAATCATTTGTATTTTATTGAACAAGGAGTATATCTCCAGAATACCTTACCTTTTGAAAACAGTTATGAATGTGATAATAAACCTTGCCTTGAAATGAGACCCCAGTAAATTAGTAAAATCCCCAAAGTAATGAAAACAATATTTAAACATTAGTAAAATAAAACCAAATGTCATTTATCACCTGCGAACAGTTTCGTTGCAATAAACATCAAGTAAGACATAAACAAAGACGGAAGAAATTCAAATGCTCCAATTTAATTATTTTTCTCTAAGTTGAAAAAATATCTTCAATTCTTTCTAACGAAGGTTTTAAAAATTTCCTCTGCCATTCTTCAAGCTCCTCATCGTCTTGCCTTGTCTTCTTCATCTCCCGATAATTTTGTCCAAAGTTGCTCGCAACAAATTAATTGATTTCTCAGGCTCTCGAATTACGTTCAAGTCTTTTCATTGCAGAGTCGCAGCAATTCTGTATACTCTTTCTGCCTTCAGCCTCCTGCTTGCGATCAATTCTGCAATTCGGTCGCCAGCAAACCATCTGTTCTTTGTCATGGGAATCTGAAACCAAAAGGATAAGGGGAGTGTTCAAACGTTTGAACTTACAAGCGTGTTGCACAAAGTAACCTTAATAATACTATTTCGATCGTTTATAAATTGTAAAGTAACAAATATCATTATCCAGTCCTATTTGCCTATCAGAGCAGTATGGAACATTTACAAATTACATTCTAATTTATATTATATTATCTTCGTAAAGTAAGAGTAACGTTGAATTTATCAACATACCTGAAAACTTATCAAAGAAAACTTGAAGAATCAGGCTCTTCTCAAAAAATAAAATCCAATCTACCAAATGATAATCACATAATGATAACTTTTAATTTGAAATCCTTATATTGTTTTTTGACTAATGTATTTTAAAATAATATTATTGAAGCTCTTGAAGCGCAGATAAAATAGTTTAACATTTCACAAAAATTAAACCAATAATTGTATCGCACATCCTAGAACCACTCGATAATATTTCGCTTTAAAACAATTTACAAATGAACGTTCGTATACTGAATCATTTATATATTTCTTTTGAATTTATTTCATTATATATAGGATTAAATTGCAATATCTGTATCCAGAATGACTGCTGTTAGTGAAAACACCAATTAAATTATAAAATAGCGTGATTGACACATATATTCTCTTACCAACAACTCTAAAACCCATCCGGAGCATTGTGTATCCTGCGTTCCATATTAGGCCATTTGATTGACTCAGATGTTGTGAAATTCAAGATTCCAAGATGTATTCACTTTGTATTACATGTTACATATGAAAAAAACTGGCTAAGCGTATGACTATTTAACTACAATCTTGTGTTCCGTACAATGAAAGCAAAAAATATAGTTTTACTTACATTGGGCTGTAATAATACAAAAGAAAGATGAGAGCGGAGTCGTGTCAACACTAACCCTTTCTCACCTACGTTCACTTCCACTGACGATTGTAAAGCAGGGACTGAATCACCCTAACAAATACTTCATCATCAAACCAGTTTTACCAAAAGTCAAAATTAAAATATTCTGATAGCACATGTAAACTCTTTGGAATTTGTTTATAAAGGTAAGTAATATTATCTTGTAAAAATTAGTAATAACAGTATTTTGCTAATTAATTTGATATACGTGTACCTTGCGTCATTACAATACGTACCTCAAAGATGTTAAAGAGATTTAAAAACTCTATTTCTGACACTCAACTTGAGAAGCAAGACATTTTGACTGTATCAGCAACTTTCAATAATTTGTGGGAAGAATAATAATCTGAAATGTTTGCGAATAGATATTATTAACTGTATTTTAACATCATCAAAAACTTAAAAACAAATCATGCCGTACTGACCAAATTGTCCATACAGATAAAATCAATCATCTGTTAACTTTACCACATTGTACAGACAGATGTCAACTCATTGTTTTCCTCGGGAATCTCCTTGAAACCAATTGCAGGCTATCCCTGCTCACCCGAATCGTGCCTGATGCTACCTTCGCGTATTATGAGAGTCCCACGCGGATGAAAAAACCTAGATTTTAGTTTTTACACCATACATCTGCAAATGTGTACAATGGTATTCAAAAATTTACGAACTTTTCAATAGAATTCAAAGAAAAAAACAATACTAATTTATCCTCAATATATCATATTAATTACACAATTAACGCCTTGATAATTTAGCGGGAAAGTGGCCTCAAGTGCATTACACTGATGTCACTGAAGTGCTTTCTACCGTCCTATGTCGAGTCCATTCGGTGGCAGGAATTCCCGACACTGCTAGACGCTATTCCGAGGTAATTTCAATATTAGGAAATTCTCCCCCGGTCTTTCTACTGGTACGTTGTTCTTGGTCCTTCTGCAAGAGAATGCAACTCGTAAAAGTACTCTCACAACGGCCACAGACTGCGCCGCACTTCCTTGTCCTATCCTACCCGCTTCACTTACAACACACCACACACACTTTCGTGAACTGCACTACCCCATTCGCCTAGAGACCAGTCGGAGTTAGACTGTGTCGGCGCGGCAGTGCCACTCTGATGGAATATCGCTTGGGGAAACATAGCTAATGGTTGCGCCTATTCTCACCACCCACATCGGAAATCAAAACTCCACCCTTCAAGAAAAAAAAAGCACAACTGCACTTACGGACTAATGCCCTTAAACCTTGACACGCCCAAAATCACAAAATCAATCTTCGACTATTTTTCAATTTATTTTAACAATAGATAATGTAATACTGTGGTTAGATTCTCAATACTTTATTGAATAATATTTTAAAAAGTACTTCTCATTCATTTATCCCTTTACAGTACAATAATATTTTTTACTACATGTTCCTGTCACTTTTTCTCACAATCATCTTATTCATTGAATTGCCTTTCGCGAAAGTAAAATTTCTGTTTAATTTCTTTTGTGCCGCAACTTTTACCCTATTTCTTTGAATGTCTACTCCCCGCTTCGAAACGAAAATAAAATATTGATAAGGCCAAATCTTCCCACTGACCATTGCACGTTGTAAAGAAAACACTAATTGAACCGTTTTTCAACTTTGATACTTTAATTTCCACTAAGTATCCATTAAAACGTGCGAGTCTTTTTTGAGGGTATATCGAGCGGCGAGTATTTTCCCGTGTTACAACAAACACGATCATTCCTCTCCCTTGAGTCTTGTTTTCACATGATTGTTGTTAAGTAGTGTCTTATTGGGGGAGTGTGAGAAATTGAGTCAGAACGCCGCAGTATGACATAGTGAAGAAAGCCAAACAAATATTCATTTCTCATACAAAATCGGTCACTAATCATTAGTTTGTTTTCCCCGACATCCTGGCATCAAAGATAACTTAAATCTCTTCTTAGATGGCCGGTCGAAGCTGCATATTTCTTTTCAATTTTCTGTGCGCATTGAATTAGTTATATTTAAATATTTGAAGAGGACATGCAGATAGGATGACCCGCGGAAAAACGATGATGCATTATAAAGCGAGGCTGTTATACCTTAGGTTTATTTCTTGGCGCGGTGAGAACATGTCTTCACGATAAGGTATCTTCACGCCATTTCGCATCTTTCTCAGTCGTGCCGCTGGATGTCGCCTGATCCCAGCAAACTGCCCATACGGTCGCATCATGCGAGTTCAAACGGTACGAGAGAAAAATACGCGAAACGTTGTGTGTCATACATCATGGAAAACACCCTCACGCGCAAGAAATAAAAACCCAAACCTAAAGGGCTTTACATGGTAAAATTTTCGTTCTGATTCTCCACAGACGGCTATAGCGAAACATCAAGAACTGCGCAAAACTCAAGGGTGGAACATTAACCAAACACCGCTTATATGGTTTCAGAGCATCAATGGATCTCACGTAGGCCTCTGACCGCATGAACCTAGATTCGCCGGTCCCGACGTGCTATATTGCAGACCAGCTATGGAATTTAAACCGTTTTCTGAGGAAATTTATTGCCGGCTGCTTCAATCGATAATTTCCGTAGGTTTCTGCGATCAATACTCAGACGAATGCCGGAGCAGTACCCTAACAAACGGCCCACGCGCATATTTCCGTTCATTTTTATCCTACCAACTACACAAACATGCACTAAACCACCGCCACGAGTCGGAGGATAGGCCGGGGACTTAGAGCTTGTCCGCTGGCCCTCGCGTCACCTAGTTGGGAAAACCCCGCCCAAGTCGGCGTCGTAAATCACCGTGGATATCCGCTGTTCCAACCCGGGAATCCACCCCTCTTTCCGCGATAAAAGCTATGCACTACACTCCACGGACTATGACTATCGTCGCGTCGAGTAAACCAATTCCTTTAGTGAAATTCTCAATAGAAGCGAGGAGTCAAACTGGAAGCTTTCTGCACGAAAAATTACGAAATGCTTAAAAAGTTTTCATGCAGAAAACGTGCAGACTGGAACTGTCTGGTCGACTTTCACCTTTATAGCAATCTAACCGTGACCGTAGTGATCATATTCATCAGTGAATCTTGAGTTCAGTACGAAAAATTCATATGAAAAACATTCCCATTACAATACAAACATATTATTTACATTGCATTACATTTGACGACAGGAAAAAAGAAAAGTAAAATATGTAACAAAATATATCACACATCCTCAAAGTAAACACGAAACAAAAAGAAATACGAATATCTCCCAATGAATCATCACACTCCATTAAATAGACCTCGTCAATTCATAGGAACAGACCATTAACATTACTATATATTAGGAAATATCTAAGGACATACGAAAAATTATTGAACTTTATCAGTTATATCGTCACTATTATTAAAGTTTTTACATGTGCTTTTAAATCTGATCAGCTACACCGCGCTGCATACTAACTGCATAAATCTATTTCTAGCAATCACGGTCTGCTAGAATTGCCCAAACTTTGTCTGCCTTTTAAACTTAAAAATTGGATTGTATAAATTATGTTCTACTCTCAGGATAACAGAATGTAATTCCAGGCAGTTTGACCAGGCAGGCAATCGTGAAAACGTTATTAATATAAAGGAGCTACACTCATGATACTTATAACCACCCAACAGAAAAAACATAATTCTGGAATTTCCCTCATTACGGAATAATTTGAACGAGAAAGTAGCATGAAAGCAGAAAGGGAAAATAAATTAATAATAGAATCTACAAAATCTTGTACAATAAAACTTGTAGTCACATTAAGAAATCCACGCAAAAGACGGAACCGGCATCTTCAAAAATTCTTTACTAAGTCATTAATAAAAAAAATAATTATTATGAACTGAAAAAAATGTAAAATTTTAACTGCAAAAACAGTTCTCTGTAGATCACATGAGAAACAGTCAAAGTTCTATACTAACCTATAACGCTTCTAACTGTGATTTAACTGTCATGTTCACCAAAGAATAATTTTTCAAGAGGATTAAATAATCCAATCACATGATAAAGAGTGTTTACTATTTCTAATATTCACCTACAGTTATTTTATAAGTAATTTAGAAGAGTCA